GTCCATGGATGTCCTCCCAGAACTCGCCCCCTGCAAACTGTCAGCGACGCGTACTCGGCGCTGTCAGTGATCGCTGTGTCCTACAGACACAGTTGAACACATGATGAGTTCAAAGGCTAATCACAGCAGCATTTTACCACGTGATCAGCTGTGTCCAATGACACAGCAGATCACAAAGTAAATACAGTTGCAGGTTATCGGCAGCACTTTCCTCACACTGTCATAGCGTGAGGAAAGTAGTGCTGATAACCGGCAAATGTGACAGGGGAGATATGCACTGATAATCAGGGTACTGATTATCAGTGGTGCCTGTCAGTGCCCATAAGTGCAGCTTCATCAATGCACATCGGTGAAGGGAGAAAAATTGCCTGTTTGCAAAATTTTATAGTAGAAACAATGAAAACCTTTTTTGTTTTTCCCCCAAAGTGGTTAAGGGGTCTATTTGGCTATCAAGATAAGGAGGAAAATTTTATCTTGATAGCCAAATAGACCCCTTAAAGGGGAGTACGCACGGTGACCTGCTCATAGGTCTGAAATTAAGGTGAGGGCACTGTTTAAAAGGTGGTGGGAATCACTGAAGAGTTCATTATAATATAATTGCACGTGTGATAAGTTGCATATTGTATTAGTGTGGTTTATCAATTATATTCACATTATTAGGAGGTTTGGTATAAATATCTACTGTATATGTAGTGCAGCAACTTTTAAGGTATTTATCTTACAGAGTGTGGGATCACCCAAAAAAAATAAAAAGTTCACCTGATACATACACATAGGTTGCGCAGAGAATATATCACTTTTTAGTGTCTATCTTGAGTTATGGCGGGTGTGCTGGTCTTTTGGCAGCTGATCCTTACAGGAAGTACCCTCATGAATGAACAATGGGGACACATGAACATAGGCATACACTGCTTGTAACTAAAAATTATTACTACAGTAATTATAAAGCGCCAATAGTTCGCTCAGCGCTGTACATTACAAAGGGAGACAGAACATGTGACAGAACAATACCAATACAATGCAAAAAACATGAGGGGATCAAGGGCCCTGCTCTTTGGAGCTTACAATCTAAAATCAGAAGTTGAGGGAAAGTATCCTCCATGGATAGCACAGAGGAGAACACGATGAGGAAGAATAAAATGGTATGTAAACATGGTTGTCTTATCCAAATAACATGCTGATATTAAGCTGGATTCCAGTTTTATTAGATCGAGGATTTAGTGACTAACCTCTTCCCACTGCGATAACACTTTTGTGCAGGGGCAAGGCAGGTGGGCTTTAATGCCCAGCCGCCGCACATATGCCACCTTGAAGGTCTGTGCTTCTCTGCTGAGAGCATGCTTATTGTGCGCTCCCAGTACACTGACCAAGTGTTCACTGACAGCTCTTGGTCTCTGTCTCTGATCAAGAGTCAGGTGCATGGACTCCTGATCATGTGACTGCTGTGAGATCCAATCACACTGATCGTGTGATCAGGATGCTGCCTCATAGTGTTAAAGTGGAATCTATTCTTCAACAGATTAATACCTGCGAGGTCCCACACTGACATCTTCTCCCCAGCTTTTTCTGGATGCTGGTCTTCATCCATCTTGATTGGCCAGTGTGAGATGATGTCACAGGGATGGCAGTCATTTATCCTGGCCCTGTGATATAGAAATGTAAACGGAGCTTAGCATGTGCAGCTCTGTGTAAATTCCTCAAAGGATTGAAAACAGGCAGGTAGGTGTATTTTATTGTAAGTGCGACATTTTACTGTATGCCTCTTCTGCAATAAAGCACCTGCCTGTTTAGATTTTATTTTTTTTTTTTACATTTAGTTCCACTGTAGGAGGTTTAAGTAGACCTTCACACTGAAAATTAATTTTGTATTTTCTTCATAACGCATGCATATTAGGGCTTATTTACACTGCCTGCATGCTAACTGCACCATTTTAGCATGTGGACAGCTGTCCGCTTTATTGGCAGTGCGCTGTGGGGGCAATGTGGTGTACATTTCAGTGTATCACACGGTTTACTTTTGTATTTAGTTGTTTGGTGGGTTTTTTTTCGGTTTAATTTTTTTGAAGTGTCAAAAAGTGACCATTCATGTCTTCACACAGCAGTGGTGATGTGTACATTTTACTGCAGGTCACCCCACCGGCTTCTCCCTGTTGCATTGCAGTGTGAACAGGGCACAACACTGTTTTCTGTGCCCTAGCAGTGACTAGCATTTATTCAGTACAGAAAAATGCCAGTCGCCATACTGTGTGTGAACAAGCCCTTAAATAATTCCATTACTTTTTTTTTTTTTTTTTAACTAGTGGAGCACCTTTACCCCAGGTAATCACTCCCACTTACTTTTTCCTCACCTAGGCAGGGATGACGTAGCTCTTGGCTCCCACAGCCTTGTGGGATAAATGTCACACTTCCGGAAGGCTAGAGGACCAGTCTCCTCGGCAGTGTCTTGTGCATGCGCCGCGGTAGGGGGCCAGCTGAATGATCAGAAATCTGACCGCTAGCTCCCAACTGCAAGATGGCAGCACGGAATATCAGAAGCCCTGCAAAGAATCAGGTACAAGGAAGACAGCACTAAAAGTTAACAGACTTAAAATTCAGCAGCTACAGTATGTATAACTATAACACATAGAAGTCACAATATTCTGTTAAATGACTTGTATTACTTTAGAATGTTGTAGTGCTGTCCCTGGGGTTTTTATAGGAATATAAACAATTTATCTAGTCTTTCTGTAAATGGTTAATAGGTGCCTGTAGTGTAAACTTTAAATATACACACACTGGCCACTTTATTAGTTGCACATGTTCAATTGCTTGGTAACACAAATTACTAATCAGCCAATTACATGGCAGCAACCCAATGCATTTAAGCATCTAGACATGATGAAGACGACTTGAAAATCAAACCGAGCATCATAATGGGGAAGAAAAGGGATTTAAGTGACTTTGAATGTAGCATGGTTGTTGGTGCCAGACGGGCTCATCTGAGTATTTCAAAAACTGATGATCTGTTGGGATTTTCACACACAACCATTTCTAGGGTTTACAGAGAATGGTCCAAAAAAAAAAAAAATATCCAGGGAGCAGCAATTGTGTTTACATAAATGTCTTGTTGAGTCCGAGAAGAATGGGCATTCAATTTCAGCTGCGACATACAGATAGTAGGGTAAGAATTTGGCATAAACAACAAAGCATGGATCCATCCTGCCTTGTATCAATGGTTCAGGGGCTGGTGGTGGGGTAATGGTGTGGGGAATATTTTATTGGCACTAGCAAGATGTACCTATAAAGTGGCCTTCGAGTGTATATTTGTTACATGGTGAAGTGCAGTTATCTTATGAAATCGCTGCATGCTCCTTTTTTTTTTTTTTTTTTAATTGAATCTCCATTTTACTAGCGACAGCCTATAGACCCAAAACGACCATTCCTGATCCATAGTGTTTGATCAGATTAGCTAAACTTTAAAAAAAAAAAAAAAAAAAATTAACTTACACCCTGACATGGTCCTCTCAGAGCAGTGTTTTTCGTTTCAATAATATTTGTTTCTATTCACTTGCAATGTACCTTTTTTCGAGCTTGCTTTGACTACCGTACTTCATACTTGCCAACATATTTGTCCCAGTGCCCCAGACTCTGTCTCCTCCTCCCAGAGCCCACACTTGATGTGTCAAGTATCTGTGCATTGGTGGCCAAATCGCATCTAATTTCCTGGGGGTTCTTTCTTGATTATCCCACCCATGGTTATGCAGGAACTGCCCACTCACGGCTGCAGTCCAATCAGCTAATACCCTTATTTAATTTCTCATACTTAGGTGATGCAGTGATCTTGGTTCACAACATCATTGGGAAAGAAGACAGAGATGTGGGACTTGCCTGGCACAGTTGGCACCTGTGCTACTTCGGTCTATATCCTAGTACAGCCCCCTCCCTCACTGCCTGTCAAAGCCTGCCCCTCTTTTCTGGGTGTATCTAATTTAGTATCTGTGCTGCCCCCCCCAGCCACCTCCCTACAAAACGTTTCACATAGTTGCCAGGGAAGGAGCATAGGGGAATACTATAGAACCTCCTTTTTCAGCCAGGGTTCCATGGATTGCTAGGGTTCCTTCAGAGGTCACTAAGGGTTCCTTGAGCAATGAGAATTTCTAACCTTTCAGATGAGTGAACAATGTCTTTTTAGCTATCTATCATTAGTAGGGGTTCCCTGAGCAGCCATCTCATCTAAGGACTAAGAGGTTACAATACTGTATTCTTTTTGTTTTTTGGGTTTAGGTGCATTTTAAGGCAGCCAAAGTGAAGGAATGCTTTTCAGGACAGTATTCCTTTTTCCGTTCACTGCATAGTAAATGTGACATGCTTTTACCCCTTTGTTGTCATATATTCATAATATTGCTAGGAACCATAGTTTGGCACCGTTCTACAAGTGTATGCAGTTTTAAAGTGTGGCGTAGTAGGTATCTATTTACTCGGTGTAACATCTTTTCTAGCAAAAATGCTGATTTTTACATGTATGACAGAATTGGCAGAATTGGCCTGAGGGTAAGGTGGTTAATGGAATGTCCCTTGCAGTACATAGTTTATATGTCTAGCAGGACTGACTGGTCAAAAGTACAAACTCCTTAGCAGATAAAGCCATTTCAAATGTTGTTCCCCTGTGTGTTTAGCTATTTGTAGTTCATTTTTAAAACCTGTGTAAACCAATTTTAGATTAACGTGGACCTCTGCCAGCTGGCTCGCAAAACTAATTGTTGGGAAATTGGTTTAATGCAAATGGTGAACTGCTCCTCCCACTGCTGTTTATAAATCATCACTTTGTGTGAATTTGTCTCTTTTTGCATTCTTTGCATCTGAACATAAACCGATCTAGACCAAGGTATGGACGGTCAGAAAATGACATGCATAAATGTATAGTAGAAACCATAGAGGTGTGAAGATTTGCCTAATTTATTTTTTTTTCTTATTCTTGTAGGTGAAGATGCTTAATGTATATATAACTCATATTGAAACACTTAAAAAATCATCCTAAGCTTTCTGCACAAGAAGTGGATTGTCATCTCTCCTTTTTGGCGACTATGAATAGCTTCGATTTTGATTTAGAATATTCATCATGGAACACCTGCGTAAAACTAATAATTGCCGGTTTCCTAGTTTACTTAGTTTTTTTTTTATACTTTGCCATCTTGTGTCAATATCTCTTTTTGCCACCTACAGAGTACTCTCTACCCGGGAGAAAGTATTTTGGGATCTCGCAGCTACTCGGGCAATGTTTGGTGTACAGTGTACCATTGCAGGACTCACTGCATTACTCTTTGATCCTTTACTTGCGTCTGACCAGATCACTGCACAGAGGGGATGGACTTGGTTCACTATTTTAACAGCAACTGCATTCTTCCTCTTTGAGAACATAGCCTTGCATGTCTCTAATCTTATGTTTTGGACGTTTGATGCTTTTTTAGCTGTCCACCACTTTTTTGCTTTTCTGGGCTATTTTGGTTTGATCTTTTGCACCACAGCTGGACATTATTTGGCCATGGTTACTTTATTGTTGGAAATGAGCACTCCTTTTACCTGCGTTTCATGGATGCTGTTAAAGGTAAACATTCAGACAAATTAGGAGTAAAGCTCTTATGTGGCTACTAAACTTTGCAAGGTTCACATTTTATTAATAGTTTGTTTTAATGTTTGTAACCCCTCTAATTTTAATCTGTATTTTCTCAAGAGCCTATAAAAATCTAAAGGCTGCCCAGCAGGTTGAACGAAAAAAAAAAAGGAACGGATCTCTTTATCCACACATTTGAGGTAGATGGGGGGGCAGTCCTCCCCACTCAGCTATTGTATCCTAGTGAGTTTTTCTGTTGACTAGATGAATGTAGTATAACTATAAAGTTTCAAGCAGACCATATATGGATCGAAACTCGGCTGGTTCGGCAGAGACTGGCCAAGATTTGATCCATCTATGGGCAGGTTGGTTGTACTGAAGTCAATACATCAATCCACTTCTGTCCAAACTGCCTGTTGGATTTTATTTCATGTGATCACTGCCAGTGGCTATAACCACAGGATAATCAATAAATAGTACCTCAGCACACCTTACTCTTAGGAGAATATCCACTCTATCAGAGTGGATATAAAACCCTATCAGAAAAGTGACAGTTTCACCCTTGAAAGTAAAATTATTCTAACCAACCTTTTCTATCACCTGACTATCAAACTCCTATAAATCAAATCCTAATAGAAATCACTCCTATTCCAACCCCAACACAAATAAATAATAAATAAAAAGTAAATGAATGTCCAAAATATATGTCCAAAATATACGTCCAATCAATAGTCCAAAAGAAACTTTCTTAATCCAGTGTTGAGCTTCCAATTCTCCTATCACTCTTCGCGAACCTCAAAAAAAAAAAAACTATAATAGTGTATTACCTTCTATAAATAATTAACTGTGAAAATACAATATCCGTGCAAATAACTGCACCAAAATACATTAATTCAGCTGTGAAAAAACAAGTGTATCATGCAAACAGCATATCGTGTACACTCTAATAAGTGAAAAACAAAAAAAATATATATATCAATAAGTAAAAAATATTTAAAAATTATACAACCCATTAACTATTTGTGAACAGTCCAATTCATACGGTGAACAATCTGTGATCACCTCCAACTAGTGCAATTAAATAATTACCTTCAGGAAGTAATGATAAGCTTGTCATTATCCTTGGTCAGTAACCACTTTCCAACTTTCAATCACTCCTGTGGCCAATCCTCCATAATCCTCATAATAAATAAATATGTATATATATTTGTTTTTTTCACAGCTGAATTAATGTATTTTGGTGCACTGATTATTTGCACAGATATTGTATTTTCACGTTTATTTATAGAAGGTAATACACTATTATAGTTTTATTTTTTTGAGGTTCACAAAAGAGTGATAGGAGAATTGAAAGCTCAACACTGGATTAAGAGAGCGTTTCTTTTGGATGTATATTTTGGACATTTATTTTAATTTATTTGATTTATTTTTTATTTGTGTTGGGGTTGGAATAGGAGTGATTTCTATTAGGGATTGATTTATATGAGTTTGATAGTCAGGTGATAGAAAAGGTTAGTTATAATTATAACCACAGGTTGCAGGAAAGAATTGCTCAATTCCCTCACCTCAATTCAACACAGTCAGTGTTCATGGGGGAATCCCTCCCATGGAGCTATTGTGTTCTCCTGGCAGGGGAGGAAAGAGATCTGTCTCTGTTGGGAGAACACAGTGATTATTGTTAGTGGCTACAGTCGCTGGCAATAATTGCATGAAAAATGTGACCGGCTTGTTGTGCCCAAGTCATACAACAATCAAATTGGGTACAATCAGCCTGCCTTTTAGATGGTTTGAATCTCTGCCAGAACCTGTCAAGATTCAAACCATCTGTGGCTGGCTTAACAGCTGTCGAGATACGGTATCAGCCCCACAGAAAATCTTGTTTTTGAAAAAGTTGGCCACCTTATAGACTTGTGTTAGCAAAAGGTGCAACAATGCAGCAGCACTGTGTAGCAGAGCAGACAACAGCTTAGCTTTTCTAATGTGAAAATATGACTGCCCACATGCACAAACATGAACGCGTCGTCACTCACAACTCCCTAGAACAGGCTCTTGATCAGGTGATCACTAACAGCCAGTCACAGTGATCACATTTATTGGAAATCCTGGAAACCGCCTCCAGCATAAAGAACCCTTTTGAAGGACCAGCAACAGCTGATAAACTGTTATCACAAATTAATAAGATTATTTACACACTGTCTTGGATTTTCAGAAATCCTCCGGTACCCTCTCACCACTGTCGCCATAAGCTTCCAGTGTGTGGTGTGGGTTAATAGAACTGAGGGAGCTCTGAAAGGCACTAATCAAGAGTGCCTGACTATACCTACCCTTTCCGCCCAGTTCCTCCGGTACTACGGCCTCTGTGTGAATTAAACATAATCTATGAATGGACAGGACAGACTTTTCAATCATCCACCCATCCTCCATTCATATATCTTGTTTCTTTCATAGAATTCATAGTACAGCTTCTATGAATTGAGGTGCTAGGCAGAAAGGGCCAGCATACTTGGACACTCTTAATGAGTGCCTGTCCCCAGCTTCTGCAGTTCTATTAACCTCTGCTATAATGGGAGATTAAGGTTTGAGGCCATTGGAGAAGGAAGGTTTTGGCTAAACCAATGACACAGCAGCACAAGGGACACATCACATTGAAGGCAAGCAATATCCCTTTGTACTGTTTTTTTGTTTTCACGTATGTGTGATGCGCAAGCATTTGTGCGTGGATGCTCATTTTTATGTACCTTACTATGTGTGGCAATGCACAAGCCTGAATGGAGCCATTAAGCGTCTCTTCAGCTTTATTGCTACTTTAAATGTTTGTTTTGGCCAAGTTGACCTAAACTAACTATTTCCTACACGAAGGGGTTCATCCACTGGGATCACTGTATAAACTGCATATATCCTTAGCTATATACAGTATACAGCCTTGTGTTACATAGGAAAATAAACAAGAAATTAATGCAAAGCTTCCTCTAATTGGCTGAGGCAGGGATTGTGACATCATTCACCCACCTCTTCACCTCAGCCAATCAGAGGAAGACTTGTATTCATTCATCCCCAGTGTGGGTCCATTGGTGATTAACGCAGGTGTTCTGTTATTGAAGTGTACAGATCAGATTTCTGCCACTTTAATTTGCACTGGGACTGGTCGCACGTGTCAATGTAGCCTTAGCATGTAAATAGTTGACAGCTTCACATTTAAGTCTGTTTTGAATATGAAATGTACAGTTTTTCATCAACTACAAGATATTAACTGGAAACCTTTTCTTAAAATGTTTCTTTTATTTCAATTTTTCAAAGTGAAGTTAATATTTAATTTCTCTTTTAATCAGGTGGAATTTGCAGTGCTAATTTCTTTCTTTTTTTACTTTATGCAACTTTTGCGGTTCTAGGCGGGCTGGTCACACACTTTATTTTGGAAGGCAAATCAGTGGCTTATGATTCACATGTTTCACTGCCGTATGGTCCTTACTTATCACCTCTGGTGGGTATCGATTTACAACTGGAATCGCCTGGTGACATCTGTATCATTGGCTTTTATTGCATTTTTCTTTACTGGCTTAGCTTTAGTGACTCTTGTTCTGAATCCATATTGGACCTACAAAAAGACCCACCAACTGTTGACGCCTGGTGACTGGAACTTTCAACCAGCATCTACAAAGGTGGTAGTCAATAGTGGCGTTACCTTAAAGAAGTATAAGTAAAAAAACACACAGCAAATTTTGTATGATATTACAAAGACTGCAGTTTTAATGTAGTACTGTGATGAAACATGTTGTTAATATGGTTAGTATTGTCTATTCGAAATGTATGTGTGTAGCCATATGGTATTTATTTAATACTTCTCAGTTACTACAGAAACTGCGCTGTGGCTTAACACATTTTAGGTTTTTTTTTTTTTTAACCTTTTATTAGTATTCATTTGCATAAACACAGCCTAGATATGTATAGTACATGGACAGAGAATTATCATTTTAAAAAGGTACAGTAACATTCTAAAAAAAAAAAAAAAAATATTTACCACAACTTGCTTTAGTTTTTATGCATTTTTCAGCGTGTTGTCATGTACTCTCTCAAGTTATGTTCCCAGCATATAGGGAGGTGTAGGAATAGCCTGCCATTTTCCATTTTTGCTACACCAGGAGTACATGGCCTATTGCCAGGGAGGAGTCGCTGTAACCATACATTTATATGTATCGTGCATTTTTATGCACTCTCATTGACTGACTTCTGTTGGCCCCTTGATGTACATAAGGGATAAAAAAAAAATACTCAAATCATTTTCTATGGCCTATTGCAACACATATGTGAACTAGACCCATTAAAAATAATGGTATGCCATGTAGCATGCGCTTTAATTTGTTGTAACGCACGATTTATGACACACAGGTGTGTACAGGTCCTGACTGTATTTAGGCAGTGATTCCTAATATTGTCTTGTACAGTAGATTTTTGTAGCTGTCTGCCTCTGTTCTGTTTCTTCCTGCAGCAAATCAGATCTTTATAGAGAACGGAAAAGGAGGATAAATTGCTAAGAGCAGCTCAGACACTTGTCATTCATTTAAAAAAAAACATTCAGGAACTTATGGTAAATAGAAGCACATTTTTAATTTTATGAGGCTACTGGTTTAGAACTACAATGCTATGATCTAAAATGGTTTGCAGCTCAAACCCAATCTATGCAAAGCAGCCTAGTTTACTTTCAAGTAAGAGAAGCCGTAAAACATAAGCTTTACAGTGCCTGAAAAGGTTTTTGTATGATACAAAAGTAGTTAAAGTGGAACTAAAGACAAAACTTTTTTTTTTTTTTTTTCTTTTTAAATTTTATAACACCTGTCACGTTTTTATCACTGTCTGTCCTATTTACCTATTTTATCATAAAAAGAGAAAGTAAAAGAAATCCCAAATTTTGGGTTGTCCCCAGAACAGTAATAGAGGGAAAATCTTCCAATGAAGAGACTAGTTCTAGTGACCTTGGTGTAACAACTACGGATTCCCTCACTTTGTAGAGATTTCCTGTTTTGGCTACACGGCAAAGCGAAGGGAGATTGCTCCAATGGGACACAGATGGCAAAAAATCTAGTGGAAAAAGAAACAAAAAACCTCCTGCGCTCAGAGACCCAGATCAGAATTCAACACGTTGAACCATATATGAAAGTTCATCCGGTGGCTGATCAAAGGTTGTGCTGCTCTAACACAAGGCTGGGGAAGCCCAATAACAGCTGTAACAAAGAACACAAACAAAAGCACACCAACCTTGCGCATTACCTCAGTGAGTAAAGGGTGAATTTATTAAATTGAGATATATATACTCACAAAAGTAGCAATATTAAAAGCATATAAAATCCAACATCAGCGCAGTGGATAGCAAACACGTGCGGGTCCCATCGAGAGGGGAGACTGTGAGGAAGAAGGGATCACCCTTCGAAATGCGTCAGCTTCATCCTGAGAGTCTCCCCTCTCGATGGAACCCGCATGTGTCTGCTATCCCACTGCGCTGATGTTGGATTTTATATGCTTTTAATATTGCTACTTTTGTGAGTATATATCTCAATTTAATAAATGCACCCTTTACTCACTAAGGTAATGCGGACGGTTGATGCGCTTATGTTTTTGTTCTTTGTTACAAGGTTTATAATCCACCCTTGCTCTATCAAAAAAAAAGTTTTGCCTTGTTTTTATGCTACTTTTTAACCATTATTTTAATTGAAACTTGAATTCCAGGGAAACTGCTAAACGCACAGATAAAATATGAGTGAACTGTTGTTCTTAACAAAAGAATTGTTATTCAGTTCTCCTAATTTTGAAATCTGGACCGCATCATCAGGTTGTTGACTTACTTTTTCTCCAGCGCAGTTAGGCCATATAGTATGATCACCAGTCTACCTCCAGCCTGCTGCTTGCACAGTGAGGGAGCATCATCACATTGTTGAAGTCTGGATTAAATACCGGTCTTTTATAAGGACTTGGAACTGCACTTTATATTTTGCAACGCTACAACTAAACTATTAGTCCTCTTTCACACAGGCAGATTGATGAGGTCCGCCTGTTCATTTTTCAGGCGGACCCTGTCGGACCATCCATTGTCCTCTATGGAGCAGCAGATGTAACTAGACGTGTCCATTTACACCTGCCTGCATCTGATCTGCTAAAAACAGACAAATGGGAATCAATTCCCCATCCGTTTAGTGGATCAGATGGCAGTCTGATGTTAACAGGTAGGTGATCTGACTGCCCATAGAAGAAAGCAGGCTATTGCCTTGTCCACACTGCATGAGCGGATCCGGACCTGCCATCTGTCTGCTCAGTGGGGATCAGCAGGCAGATGCCCCGATGAGCAGCCGGACCCGCTGGTGAAGTCTACCCATGTGGAAAGGGCCTTACTGTAATGATTTCTCTGAGAGATCCAGCCAACTTGAAAGGCAAGTAAATAATAGTAGTTAAATCTCAACTTTAGGATTAAGAAAAAAAAAAGGGGGGACTGAACCTTCTACAATAAGATAAGAGTAAGCAAAAAGACATATTTCTGTAATTGAGCGGAGAGAGTCGAGTGTAGAAAAGTTCATAAGGGTGAAGATCTGCCTTAAGGTGAATTTACCCCATGCAGTGTGAGGTGGGGCCCACTGCATGGATGTTTACAAATAAAGTTCAGCATAATGTTTTCCCCCCTTCACAGGCTCAACCTATTGCTATATCCTTTTTTTTTTTTTTTTTTTTTTTTTTTTTTTTTTTTTTTGTCTGCTCTCTTCACCGATTTTACCTTTTTTGTGTGAAGAACAGCCTAGTGCCAGTGCCCTACTGGGGATTGCATACTTGATCTCCTTCCTCTTTCTGTGCTATTTGAGTGCTCACACCTTTACTTGCTCAGTGGTTCTAAGGCACATAGAAGAATGGGAACAGATTTTATTTTGGA